TCCGTTCAAATTTTGCAATGAGATTTTTATATTTATTTATTGCTCATAACAATGCCAAATTTTGCAAAAAAAAAAACAACAAAATCACAGTTTCCTTTAGAACAGAGAACAAGCTTGGTTCATTGTTAAAGGAACGCAGCCCCACGATGACGCAATCTTTTGATAAATCTGGCGTTAACAAGATCAACTGTACCGATTGTACTAAATACTACATCGGCCAAACAGCACGTTCCTTTACAAAACGATTCAAAAAGCATCTTCCAAAAGCGCTAACAGCCCACCAAACATAATCTTTTTCCGAACATTTAATATCCCAAGGCCACAATTATACCAACATTAGCAGAAATATGGATATTTTACATTTTTCTAAAGACAGATATAAACTTAACACATTGGAAGAGTTTGAGATATATAAGGCAGTAAGTAAAATCCGACCACCAAAATGTACTAAATGACCACCAATTTTTCTCGTCTAATTTTATGTATGACACTGCCATTGGTTTACTGGAGAGGGGAAGTATGGGACAGGACGCAACCTGGAATTAACAGAGTACACCATTGCATTGACCACCCGCAGTCTGGACTCAAACTCCGCCGGGTTAGCATCGCGTCGTCTGTTTTCTTAACTGATCAGTTACCATAAATGTCTCGTATTCGTGTTTAAATGTTTATTTATTATTTCGTGTAAATTATATGACGTTCTTTGTATGAAGAAAGAAAACCGTCCTCGTTGATGATGGTGCCACACAGGCACCGAAACTAGTTGTGTTAACAACAACGTTGGATTGCAGGTATTTAAACCTTTTCTAATATTATTTGGCAATCCGGAGGCTAACACCTACAATGAAAACAAAAAAAATACACTAATTTCTTACTAAACTTTTAACATAAAAAAATAAAAAAAAACTATTTATTACCCTCTCTTTTGCAGCAAACCTAAGTAATCGTTAAACTAATTCTATTTAAATAGGGAATAAATGTGATATTTATAAGGAGGCATTTTAGTGTAAATCCAATCAGGCTAATGGAATGGAAATTCACTTAGTCTGCAGGTTTGCTGCAGCGGGGGTATTTTTATATGTATATTTAGGTAAATTTAGTTATTGTGTTTTGCTAAGTCTATGCTTAAATTAAACTAAAGAATATCATCAATAACTAAATTGCACGTCATAGATTTTTGTGTTCTAAAATCTTTTGTATATGTGTAACCATATTTAATTATCAAATAGTAATACCAAATACTTTTATTTTATCTTAACATTGCTTTCAGTTCACATTTACTTTATTTGATAAATTTATTATTTGTGTTTTGCCACACCGCTGATTAAATTAAACCAAGGAAAATATCATAAAACTAAGCAGTACACAGTGTTTTTTTGTTTCTAAAATCAATGAAATATCTGTTACTATGTTTACTTAATAGTAAGTGTGAAAATTTAAAGGCAATGGACGACTCATGCATTGGACCCACTTAAAGTTGGGCAAAAGGTATTGAATGCAGAAGAGACCAGACATCAAAGCAGAACCGTGGTCGCCTGGCGTAATTGTATCTGTGGATGGGTTGAGTTGAGAACTTACATTTTATCAATTGAAGGAAGACTATTTAGACGCAATAGAAGATTTATTCGTCCATTAAAAAGTTAAAGAGGGATATGTTGCTATTCCTATAACCAGCTGATCTCTAGTTGTTGATTTTATGTTATGTTATGATTTTTTTAGAATAAACACTATCCTGTTTGGAATTGACTATTTAATTAAAACGAGGTGTTAGCCCGTCCTACGTACGGGAGTAGTGAGTTAAAACTGTGTATAATTCAGAACAGCTAGCTTACGCGTATAAAGACAAATTTTATTGCAGCCTACAGTAGAAAGAGTAATTATCAATTGAGAAGTGTATAGGCCTAGTCAACAATATCACCTTCCAATTCCATCGCATACCTGCCTCTTCCATAATCAATATCACCACAATACAATTACTCATACTATAAACAACTTCCAGTAGGTCTGAATAGAAACTCCCTAAAATAAAACGTAAACATTCAATAAAATTCACAGTACACACAATTATAACGTTGGTGTCCTGACATCATTAAACGAATCATCCTCACATATCAATTTCACTGCATCAATTGCTAAATAAATAAGTATAAACAAAGAAAAGTAAAAACAACAACATATAGTGTGTTTTTGTACACAGCTGAGTCAAAAATAAAATAATATTCATTTGAACAAAAGAACTGGTCACATGTTGAAGAAATTTAAAACGTAAACACGCTAGTAAAGCTAGTAAAGCTAGTGACGTAATCAATTGTCTATGTTTATTATCCATTCCGTTATCAGTTCTATCATTAATAATTAAACCACCCTCATTGAATCAATGCACACCGTAATTCCCCATATTCATTTATTTAAACTATAAAATATTCAAAGCCTCCAAACTTGACCACAACTAAACACACGCCAAACAACTTTTTAGATTTCATAAAAGGATGGTTAGTCTAATTGCAGTATCCTAGGTCAATCTATATATCTTTGTTCATATATTCTTTTGTTCATCTATATATCTTTGGATAAAACCCGTCTGAGGTTGTGGTGGTAATTTAAAAACATATTCCTGAAGATTCTTGATCTCCTTCTTTATGACATAAATATTTCCGGGCCTAATCCAAACAAAGTATAAGCATTGAAAAATATTGATTGATTGATTGTAAACAAACCAAGATGAATTAAAACTTGTAAAAAATGGATTTTCCTACCTTTTCCTAAAAAAGTTGAGCAGTAAATTAATAGGGATATCCTCTTTTTAAGACTCATGTACAGAGCCTCGACTTGTATACATCGATGGTGTTACTTATCTCGGTGGTCTACTAATCTGACTTATTTCCTATAATCAATGACAAAATCAGAGTAAATAAAATAACCTCATAGTTCTATAGAGCATTTTTATATTTAACCAGCTGTTAAAAGAAAATTACATTGCACTAAAACAAACCGAAGATTGCAAATATTTATTTAAAAAATCCTTTAAACATCCTAGTATTTTACTATGTATATTTAAATAATCTGTCATCCTCTTACAGAAGAATTGAACGTATCAATGATTAGCATTACACATAGTATAAATAAGTCAACCCTAAGTATGTCTGTACATTTTTATCCAAATGCTGAATTTGTGACACAAAAGCTGAATGTTTACAGCTGTTATGTTAAGCAAATTATTTTATGCCAAAAGCTAGTTTAGAATCTTAGCGTCGGCTGCTAGACTTTTTAAAAATTCAAACTTAATTTCTAAAAAACTGGGACCCTAAACTAAAATTATGGCTTCGACATTCCCTAGTTCTCAAAATTATCTTTCTTTCAACACAAAAATCACGAAAATCCGTCGAGTGGTTGATTCAGAATCGTGAAATAAAAAAACACTGTTTCGTTTTAATATTATAGATAGTTTAATTAATATATAAATCTAGTAGTCATTTTTATTTTAGCAAAATTCCACTTATGTAAACATAAACAATAACAAACAATAATAATTAATACACAACAGCTGTTATGACACAAGTGGTAGACTGTGTGTTTTGTTGATAATAGCCAACTTACTTAAACATTAATTTAACGTTGTTATTTTGTAACCTACATGGCAACCCATAAAGGCCAGTTAAAATTTAAAAAATTGAATTACTTTTATATTATATAGGCATTATCAACAATTGAAAATGTTTCATCATAAGTCTTCTAAACATTTGTCGAAACAACTTTGGTAAATTTGGCTAAAATGTGTCCAGCCGTTATTGAGTGATAGTGTTAGAAAGTTTGCATTGAGGCAGATGCTTTGCTCTGCTCAATTATAGGATGTTCTCACGAGTCCAGAGTCCCTGTCACCAGGGGCTTGTTTCAGTTCTTTCTGCACGATCCAGCAGCTCTAGTTGCTGGTTGACCATCGTGCTAGAACTCCTGCCAGACGAAGCTCGGGAACTAGCGCTTCAAGTCTGGTGTTGTGACTGGCACTGTGTGTGTAGTTAAAACAAAAATAATGTCGTCTTTTGGCATTAGACGTGATGTTTTGTCTATGATAAGCCATCATAAAAGTAAAAAGAGTGCAACGCGAAAATGAAGTGTTAAAATATAAGCACTATTATTTTGTACCTACTACAGGCTTTAAGTTAACAAATAAAATAAACAAGTTGTGGTAGGAAACTTCTTAGTCTTTTATCAACACATTCATTTGGTTTATATAGGTGAGATGTGGCAATCATTTCAACGATAAAATTGTGACAATACATTATATAAAAATACTAAACATAAAGTTTTTAATTTGTTCCTGATTAATTTAAATTTGTTCTTCTTATTGTGAGAACTAGTACTAATAGAAATTGTTGGCTCAAGGTAGACGGAGCTAGAATGGCGCTGGAGACCACAGCTGGGTGGTCACATGACCTGCTAGTGACTCTTCAAGCGCTTGGAGTTTTAAACTGTTTAAACCCTCCAGCAGCTAGAGATGCCAGCTCATGCAAGTGTTTCTAGCCGCTGAAGGATCAGCCACTCAATCCTGGTTTTCAGCTGGTTTGGTGCTTGTTACTATTGGTGAAAAAACCAGCTCCGTGTGACAGGGGCTTTAAATAATTCTCTATCTTAATAATGTATAATTAATCGAAATATAAACAGAGTGAATGTAAGTAGAGGAAATGTAATCTGATTTTTTCCTTCAAATCTGGAGAATGCTCGTTCAGTTCTGGATCCATATAATCAACTAAACCATACATAACACACACACTAATGAAATATCATTTAAACAACTTTCCAAAACCTTAAAATTATTCATTTCCACTAAATATGTGTCAAATAACCAGTATTTTGTTTGAATGAACATTTTTAGATGAAAGATTAATACCTTTAGCAACTAACCATGCCTGTGATTCCAATAGTTGACCCAACATGGAACAGTATGGATTCCTCTCAGGAGGATATCGTAAATTGGCTCAGGGTGAAAATAAACATTATGATGGAATAAAAATTGTCTTTTATATTTACAGAAATAAAGTATAAAAAAATTTTCAGTAAGAGAACCATAGAATATGAAGAAAGTGTCTCTTTGTTTACGTATGTATCACTATATAGCTATATTTATATATGTATAAATATATAACACAATGTAATGTATACAGAATACAGAAGCTCTGATATAGTGTACAAAAGTTAATCAAACGATTTGTACGGAACGCTAAAGTCAGAAGTTGAATGTAAATGCTGGTAACAGTTCCAGACCCTTAAATGCTTTGAACACAAAACAATAATACTGAAACCTATTTTATACAATATACATGGCATGAAACTAATGTTATCAAAATTACAAACAACCTTTAAAAAGGCTGATAGTTAAAAAAGATAAACCTTTGTGTCGGTAATTACTCGAGAAGCACAACAGAGTTTTGTATAAAATTTGAAGCAATTGTTCATTTAACATTTATAATTTCTCAAAAACAACAATAAAACAATTTTAGCTCTATTGCACTTTTATAATTGTGATAAAAACGTGCAAATCACTTTATAAGCTAAGTAATATAACAAAATATCCACATTGTTATACAATAAGTATTAAAAAATCACTAGCTTTACACAAGTACAGTAACAATAGGGTCCATAATATGTACATGGTAAATAAATAGCTATAAATAATATTTTGAAAGATTCCAATCGTAAAGCGATTTCGGCAAACTTTTAAGTCTTCTGGAGTGAACTTCCACTGTGTTTCATTGTTTTAGACTTGAAAATTAAAAGGATTAATCGATTTAAGTGGGAGAGCACTCCAAGAAAACTTACATTGGCAAGGCATTGAAAGACCAAAAAAATTGAGGCTTTCCAACATTGCTCAAGCGAGGTGTCCAAAAGTAACCTTTTGTACTATGACGTTTACAATAACTTATGGAAGAAAACAAATATTTAACATAATATTATCTAATAATATTTCCAACCAAGCACTTACAACCAAGAGTAAGTATGAATACCACTGTTACTGTAATCCTTCATCTCAATAAATTGAAGAACTTGGAATCTATGGCAAATGGGGAGTTTGTACTTTAGCCATATTTTATGTTAATAAGTAAGGAAAAATTGTTAAAGCAAAAACAAGTAATCCACTCTTGAGTAGAATGTTTTTTTTGGACACCTTGTTCAAGAAAAAAACCAAAAGTTCGCAGACTTCTCAGGGGCAAAGTAGAATCACAGATGACCCCTCGTTGGATTAAAGTGTGCTAAAAATGCACTACTTTCTAAGAGACCCATCTCTTACAGAAATGGGTCCCTGGTTATCGTTAAACATAAAGTCGTTATATACAAACAAGGAATCGATGGCCGACTGGAAATGGCGGCGCAAAAGCTTCCAAAGGTTTAGTCTATTTACAAAACGGTTTAGAGCTGTACAAAACAGTGGCAGAGGCGCGATGGACTAGCCAGCGGAGCGTCATGGCCTGTGGAATCTGCAACAAACGGAAATCATTGCAGAATACAGAAAACTAAAGGAACCATTAAAAAACATAATAGATACAAACAAACACTTGTTATTGCATGCAAATACTATTAAATCCTTGTTAGCTATGATGATTTTCTGGCATTGTTGCAGAAAATGGCAAACTTTCCATTTTTTCTCACACATTTAACCTTAAGAGAATACTCCTCATTAGTGCAATTTTTTAAGCCCATTAAATAGGTACACAATTTTTAATTCATACAATATTGAATCCATGGAAAATGTGGCGATCTTTCTGAGAATACTATTAGCATACTTTTTCTTGCCTAAGTACATAAATAAGTCTCTCATGATTATTGCCACAAACAATTAAAAATGGTCGACGTGTTTATAGTACAGCCTGGTACTCTGATGAAGTATCTAGTTTAAGAATTCGAGGACAGCTAGGACACAGTACAACAAAACAAATTTTACATACATTTGCATCCTATAAATCCCAAAGTACACATGAACTTTTGAGAAAACTAAAAGTCACACCCCCATAAACCATATACTTAAAATGTTCGTCATGACAAGAAACCTTGCGTAAAACTATCCGTTATTTCATAAGTTTGCCCTTTAAGGTCGTAATTTCTTTCTGAAGGGAACTTTCCATATACCTAATGTTAAAAATACCTCAGCTGTACTTATTTGTTCGTTATTCTTTCAATATTACCTTATTAAAATTAGGTGTGATTGTTTGTTTGTATTGCTGTATTCTGTTTTGTTTATTTCAGCTTAACTTATTAATACTTATGAAATTCCGATTCAGGATACGTTGGTGTTCCAGACTTTATTAATGTTGCAATCGCAACAAAAATAGTCTGCACCATTTTGTTGACTGAGGTCTAGAAGTAGAGTCTGAGACTCTCTGACCGGTGCAATTCCCACCAATCTTATGCACAATAAGCTTCGGTTGACATGCTGGGACCCTGAATCCCACCAATCACCAAAGGATTTTATCTAAGTGATAATGCCGTAAACCCTCTAGGCCTAGCCTAAGGTAATGTGTATAACGGTTCCGGGATAGAGCATAGCGTCCTAGAGTGTGAGGGTTAGGCAAGAAGAAAACCATTTTGTTGACAAAAATTTGAACTGTAAGGAAGCTTATTTTCTTTGGTTCTTCTCATTTAAAACAACAAGAAAATAAAGTTACTGTTACCAATTCTTATCTTCTAATACTCCTACCAATTTTTTTCTGTGGTTTGAATAGAAAATGATGACATAATGCCCTACCTGGTAAGGTGCCTAGACTCCTGGTGCACTTCCATCTCGCTACTTTTGAACTCATTGAGTTCCTTGCGTATGGCCGCCTTATCCTTGGGTGTGAGGCGAGTCCAGGGCTTGTCCGCACGGCGGTCGTAGTCATGCGCCTGTGTCACCTCGATGTAGTCGTTGAACCTGATGATCTATGGACAAACATACAATGACAATATGTGGACAACCTCACTCGTGAACCTACTGAACACAAGTGTTAGAAATTGTTTTAAGTTGTTTCTTTTTCTACTGGCTTAATTTAATCAAGTCAGTTGTTATATTCATATGTTCGAATTAATATTGTTACTCTTGTAAACAAACAAGAGTTAGTTTTTAATTTAAATAAGAAAATAAAAGCTTGTGTTACAAAAGTGGTTTTAATATTATAATTATTTATGAGAAAATCACTTATTTGATTGGCAAGTTTTTACATTTGGCGACCCTGAACCAGGATTATATGATATTTTAATATTGTATAATTTAAATTAATATGAGTGAAACTGAAAGAAAAGGAGAAAAGGTCAGTTTTTACCAAAAAGGTCAAGGCTATTGAAGAACTTGTAGACAACAATGCTGATTTGAGGATTATTTTACCAAAATATAATTCATTTATGGAGTTTCATGAAAAATTACAGAAAGTAAATGAAAACGTTTTAAGCAAGTTGATAGAAAATGAGAATGCTAATGAAGAGGACATTGAAAAGGAGATGACAACAGCTTCTGAATACAATGAGAAGTATCATGAGGTAACTATGTTAGTTCAAAATACTCAGCTAGCTGTTGCAGTTGATTCACATTCAAATATTAGTATACCGGCCCCTTCAAATTGTTCTAAAGTAAGGCTCCCAAAAATTGAGCTTAAAAAATTTGATGGAGAAATAAAAAATTGGATTGGGTTTTGGTCTCAATTTGCTAAAATACATGATGACAATAATTTGAAAGATGAAGACAAATTTGAATATCTTTACCAATCAATGAAACCTGATTCTCCTGCTCAAAAACTCATTGAAGGTTTTCCAGCATCTAAAGAAAACTATGCAAAAGCTGTAGATGTTTTGAAGTCCCGATATGGAAAAGATGAGTTCCTCATTGAATATTATGTAAGGGAATTGTTAACCCTAGTTCTTAAAAGAGAGGAAAATCTCTCTGTGACATATCTTTATGATAAATTGGGGGTACAGCTTAGATCTTTAAGGCGGTTTCACACTGGCATCGAAGAAATCGTCCGCGGACGGATGCGAAAATAAATCGCTGCCCATGTTATCAGATGGGACCGTTCACACCGCCCATTGAAACGTAGCGTCCATCCGCGGATGCAGAAATTCGTCCGTGGACGATTTGGCGGAATCGCTCTGGGAGCGATTTTTCTAAAACGTCCGCGGACGATCACGCCCTCGCGCATGCGCAGACAGAGCACCAAACCACGTGTAGCTCTCAGCGAGGCATGTGTCACTCGCATCACAGTGTTTAGTAGTTTGTGTTTATAGTCATAGTGTTTACCTAGTTGTTGTTTTGTGTCCTCCCTTGTTGTTTGTTATGGCTGAATTAATTGAGGCTGTCCGTGCCTACCCAGTTATCTGGGATACAACTATAGAAATTTATAGAGGTCAACAAGATAAAGATAAAATTTGGTTGGAAATTGCGACTACACTCCAAAGAGATTACAAAGAGAATAAAGTATCCTAACCAATAACCATGTAGCCTATATTTATACGAATTACTGTACAGTAAATCATTATTACAATGATTTGTATTACTATGATTATTTGCATTATTACAATGATTCACCAAATCGCTACCGCTTACTGTTAATCGGATGAACCCACTTTCTCCTTTTTGATAATGAGTACAAAAGTACAACCTCGTGTCACTATCATCACTACTTGAATCAAGCCACAGAACAGAAAATCCGGGTTGACACCATGGGACAGAAGGCTCAGACATTTTGCACACCTCCACTGAGTATTGACTGGGACGGGTGGCGTCGCCCTGTAATCCAGCTACTTGGAGGTCACGGATTGTGGATATTTATAGGCATGCACTGTGGATGGGATACTCCCTGGTGTGGATTAACGTCCGCACTAGTGAGTACTACGACTATCCGCAGTGCTATTCTGATAATTAGACCAATTCGTATATACCAAGGAAAAAATGTGGTTCGGATTCCAATATAAACTGTAGGTCCCTTAGTTGCCATTAGCTGTTTGGGCTATTAATTAACAGCTGTGTCTAAGGAATGTCGGCCTTAGTCACTAACAAGACTACAAGATCGCGCCACTCATCCTACACTCATTTCCATTCATACTTGGCTTAAAATACCTACATTGTATGGTCGCCATTTCATAAGAAAGTATAAAGTATAAAGTATAAAGTATGAGTTGTAAGAGGAAGTATGTTTAATCTATGATTGTAGTAGGAATGGCCAACTTCCCTATGCGCATGCGCGAATGAGTGGACGTTTGAAACGTAGCTCGCAATGTGAAGGGGGCGCGTAGCATCCATCCGAATCATTTCATCCGTCCGCGGACGAAATTATTGTCCGCGGACGCAATTATCGTCCGCGGACGCCAGTGTGAAACCGCCTTTAGATTCATTGGGTGTAACCAAAGACAAATTCGCAGCAATACTTTTCCCTTTAGTAGAATCAGCTATCCCAGAACCTGTGTTTAAAGTCTGGGAAAGACACCGTGTTCTACACAATGCATCAACTAAAGAACCAGAAAATTGTCTCGTTCAACTTTTGAATTTATTAAAAGTTGAAGTTGATGCAGAGGAGAGATTTAAGTTGCGGGTTAATAAGTTTGATCAAGATACTGTTGGTAAACAAGAATGTAAAACAACTAAATCTGTTAAGCCAAAGATAAGCTTACCTTCTGCTGCTGTTCTTGTGTCATCTTCCAAACCGAAGTCAGTTGTTAACTCCAACTGTATATTTTGTTCAAAAGGATCTCATTTGTCACATGAATGCTTTTTGTTGATCGACTTGAACGTAGATGAACGGGTTGAGATGGTAAAGAAAAAAGGAGCATGTCTAAGATGTTTAAGAAAAGGTCATTTAGCAAGTAATTGTAAGTTCCAAGTTAAGTGTATTTTCTGCAAAGGGAACCACTTAACTGTCCTATGCAAGAAAGTTCAGACTAATGATGAAAAGTCAGATGTATTCAAGAAAAAGGAGCCTGAACAGAATAGCACCAATTCTGTCACAACAACAGAAAATAAAGTTACTTATTTACAGACCCTTTCAGCTCACATTTTAGGTCCGAATAACACAAAGAAAAGGGTAAGAATTCTGTGTGATTCAGGATCTCAGAAGAGTTTTGTAACTGAAGAATGTGCAAGACAACTAGGTCTCAAGCCTAAAGGAAGTGTTTTGGTCCAACAAGAAGTTTTTGGAGGAAGGAAAACGAAGCCAAGACAACATGCATATTATACCCTTGCTTTGGAATCATTGAGTTCAGACTACAAAATGAGTCTAAATGTATTGGAACAGCCTATGATTTGTAGTCAAATTCCTCAACTCACGGACCAAAATCTTATTTATGCACTGAAGAAGCAAAACATTATTTTAAGTGATATTTCAACAACAACAAATACAGATCATACTAACATCGATGTGTTGATTGGAGCTGATGCCTGGTCTACTATAATCACGAACGAGTTCATGAAAATAAGCGATCAGTTGGTAGCGATAAGGACCCAGCTTGGTTGGACTGTTGTTGGGTCATCACTAGGGATGGTCAAGTCTCGAAATTTCGGGAAATTTTCGGGAAATTTTCGATTACTTTTTGGCCGAGATTTTTATCGAGACGAGAATAAAAAAAAAAAAAAATAAAATAAAAATAAAAAAAATTAAAAACGCCTGCAGAAAGTCAATGCAATACCCGCAATACAGGAGCGTGTTGTAGTTGCGTTTCCTTTTCGAAGGCGTTCTTATTTAATTAATATTCTTTTAATGTAAATATTACTTTAATTCTTTTAATGTAAATATTACTTTCATTATTTTAATAATATTACTTTAATAACATTTGAGAAGTTTTGTTAAGTGTAAGCAGTGTGAGGAATGTTTTATTACTATAAAAAAAGTCAAAACAAGTAACTATTTTATAAAAATTAATATTGCTTTTATTTTATGATTTATTAGCGAATTTCCCTATAGGGAAGTAGCTATTACCGTAGGTCTCATGGTAAGACTTAGGCCCGGGACCGATTTACTTTTTCATTTTGATGTCCCCAGAGGCCAAAAACACCATTCGTTCAAATTTTTATATATGTATATATATATATATATAGATTTATATATATATGTGTCCGTGAACACGATAACTTGAGTAATTTTTATCCTATTTTGATGAAATTTGGTTTGAAAGTGTAAGGCGGGATAAACTTGAATGAGTTCGCGATCCAGCATGATCGGACCATGGGAACAGGATTTTATGGGGGGTTTTATGGGGTAAAAATTGGTTTTTCTCACTTTTGACCCTCAAAACACAAAATTTTCCAATTTTTCTCTAAACCTTCTTAAAGAGCTTAAAAAACAAACAATTCAGTATATCAAAGTGTTTTTGTACGGTTATTGGTTACGGAGAAAACAAAAAAAATTTAAATTTAAAATTCCCATGTTATTCTTATGGAGAATATTGTAAAATGTTGTAGTTTGCTTGTTTATGGATATTTTTTGATCAAACTTGGCAAATATATTCATTTTATACTAAGCAATAATTATTTTACTTAAAACACACTATTTATTAGTTTCCTTGCAGCAGCAAACCTAGGTACTCGTTAAACCTAATGTTATTTAAATAGACCAATTGAAAATCAATTCAGCCAAATGGAAATTCGCTTAGACGGCAGGTTTGCTGCGGCGGGGGTATTTTATTTTAGGATAAGTTGAACTCTATCCTAACTGATATCACCATGTTTCCTAATCGTAGGCATTTTTAATAAGTTAGGCGTGATTAATAAAAAAATGTTATGCTGATGTTATTTAATGAAAGATTGTAAATATTCTTGCCTATTATCATTATTTTAGTATTTATGTTTTTAGGAAAAAGCATTTAGCTTGGATTAAATAAATAAATATAGGATGGAGAGGACACAGCTAACTCACCTGATGAAAGGTTGCAGATGAGTCAAAGAACACATAAAATCACAC